AAATTTTTGCATTATTATAACCCATTAAAAGTATTGCTATATAACTAAACCCTTATTATATAAAAGAATATAGGTAGAAAAGTGAATAATAGAAATATTATTAAGAAAAAATAGATAGAATAAATTTTGTAATTTAACTATATTGCATATGAGGGTCTCAAAATTTACAAAATTGATTCTAAAATTATAAGGATTAAAAAAATCAGAGTGACTGCAATATGGTATGTAATCAATTATTTTAAAGTTAAATATACCAGAAAATCATAAGCAATTCGATTTATTTTTTTTGTCTCTTCAATCTAGATGTTTTAATAGATGGAGTAATAGCTCTTTTTTTTACTCTTTTTATTTATTTTTTCCTCTTCTTTCTCATTCTTTTTATCCTCTTCGTTCTCTTCATCCTCTTTGTCCTTTTCGTCCTCTTCTTCTTTGCCCTTATCCTTATTTTCATTCTCTTCATTCTCTTCAGTTTCTTCTTTATTAACTTCTTCACTTATTGCCTATTCTGAAAAACTTTTAGGTAGTGATACAGTTAATATAAAAGATTTATGTTGTCATTGTCGTGTTGTATAAACAGGGGCCATGGTAGTATCAAGAACATTATGAAATAATTCACATAACTATGTTTTAATAAAATAAATAAAATTTTTTTATTAATTTAAATTTGAATACTGTCAGGTATATTTAAAAAACAATTTATTTATTTAATACAGTTAACCCTCATTAATATCAACCTATTTAGATTAAATAATTATATTGATATATGTGAGAGCTGATAACAATAGAATTGTTTTATAAAGCCTGAGCCTATGTGTTCTTAATAAGAGGTTAATATAAATACAAGGCTGATATCAATATTAATAGGATTGATATTAAAAAGGATTAATATTAACGAAGATGATATTAACAAGGGTTGACTGTAATATTATAATAAATTAGAATATACAATTTTGATTTTATTACAATTTGCATCATGTGAGTAAATAAAAAATATTTTATATCTGTTCTGATCTCTATGATAGCTCATAAATATTAACATATTGTTTTTCTTTATCATCTAATTTATCATTAGACAATTTAGGTAAATAAACCTTACTAGTTTCTAAAACTTTTTTGATTTTAGCTAAATCATAAGACATAATACAGGGATCTCTTTTTAAATAAAGATATCTAAATGCCTCTGCACAGCAAAACATTTTTTTAAAATATTTAGAATAAAATAAAATTACAAATAAAACAAATAAATAATTAAATTAAAAATAAATAAAATCTTTACCTCAGTTTTACGAGTATTTTTGTGATTTCTTTTATCAAAATGGATAGACTGAATTGGGTCTTTTCAAATTGAATTAAGATTTCTTTTTGACTTTAATTTTTGCTATAACATATCTAAAAGCTTATTTCTATTAGTATTATACTATTCCCCAAAAACTTCAAAAAGAACGAGAATTGTATTTTTTACTAGCTGGGCTTTTTGTTCAGCTCATTTAGTATTATAATTGAGATTATATTTATCACCTTTCTCATCTAGTAAAAGAAATATTTCTTTCTATAATATATAGTAAACAATATTAAAAAATTTTTTTTATAATTAATTATATGTATATATATATATACTATATGTTTATTAATATGAATAATATACTCGAAGTGAATTTCATCATTTTCTATCATCATTAGCACTATCAGAAGTAGGTTTTTGCTATACAGCTACTAATATTTCACCAACCTCAGATTCAGCTTGACTTAAAACTCTTAATGAGCTGATTTCACTAGTTAAAGATTCTACAGAAAATAATAAATTATTAATAGTATCTTTTACACTCAATATGGTATATTTTTGCTATTTTTGAACTATATGAAGTTCTTTAATTTTGTTCAGTACTTTGCTAATTTTCTAAAATTAAAAGATATATATATTTTTAGTCTAAAAAGATAATCTATAACTTTTTTTTTTTAAAAAAAAAAATTCACAAGTAATAAATACAATGTTTCTTGATTAAACTTAAAGGTAAGAGTAGAGATGTGCTTAAAGATAAATCAGGTAATCTGGTTGGTAATAAATTAGTTAATAAAATTAAAATAGGTGATAATAGTATACTTTGAGATCTTTATAGTCAGATAGATGTAGTTTGCATAGAAAGAATAGTTGTAGTTTGTTGGAAGTCAATGAATTTGGTTGGTGTAGTAGAAGTAGTTGGAGTTGATTAATTTGTTGATAGTTGTGTTTTTCTTGTAGATCAAGAAAAAATAGATTTTTTTGTTTTAGTCTTTTTTTTTTTTTATGAAAGTTTTTTCCTATTTATATGTTACTATTTTCAAGAATAGCAAATAAAAATTTTAATTACTCTATTATCTTAGCATATTGACTAAAGGTCGATACTTGATTTTATATATATACTATATAATTGTTTTAGTAAACAATTATATTGTATATATATCAGAATCCTTAGATTTTTATAACATCTAAAATAGCGCTATTTTTTTAGCAAAATAGCTAGCAACATTGTTTGTGCTAAAATGCAAAATTTGCTACTTTTGCACTAAACTGATTTATATAATTGAGTAATTATATGTATATTTTAAATAATAACTAAAGAACTCACAGAGATGATAAGTAAAGAACTTACCGAAAAAAAATATGGTCATATTAAAATTTATATTTAACAAATATAAAGCTATTTTGCTAATTTTGCAGAATTTACTAGCTAATTTTGCTAGCTATTTTGTTTTTAACATCAGGTGACTCTGACATATACTAGAATTTTTATTTGATAATATTCATTAATTTTGTTTTATATTCATCATTTTTATATATTAGATATCATTTGAGTAATACTCAAATTATTATTACTTATACTTTACTTTGAATTATTAAATAGTATGTACTTTATTGATTTTGTTATATACTAGAATCTTATTTGATAATAATATTCTTGTTATTATACTTTATTTTAATTGATGATACTCAACTAATTCGGCTAATATACTAAAAATTTGAGTCTAAAAATTAATTTCTTAATGCAAGTTAGTGTTCTAAAGTTCAGTTTAGTTCAATTTAGATTCAGGTTCAAGTTCAATTAAACCTAAACTGAACTTTAAATTTTGCAGATCTTTGAACCTGAACCTGAACTGAACTTTAAATTTATGAACTTGAACT